GTGGCAGGATTTCCTGCGGCACGACAGAGCCGCACAGCCCAGCTGTGTTAGTTGGGAGGTGCGATGGGCTCAATTTGGAGCCTGTGATTTGTTGTGGGGTTTGTTTGTTTGTTTCCTGAGTAGGTTCTAAATTTAGCAGGCACTGCTCACCATCCCTCTCTCGATCGGGGCTGCCTGGCCGCTTCAGCTTTTCCCAAGGCACCACGAGGAGAGCCCAGGGCCCTGGCACCTGGCCCTGCTCGGGTGCAGCCTGGAGGGAAGGGCAGGGCCAGGTGGGTCCCCAGGAGCACCCCACACACGTTTCCCCAGCACGCAGGCACCTCGCTGCTGGGGCATCGTGGCAGTTCCTCCATTCCACGCAGGGCACGGCACAAGATGAAGTGCCTGCAGCTCCCAGCATCATCCCTGGGGAGCAGTGGTGGCCCTAGAGAATTCCAGAAGCTCCCCACTATACCAACAGCCACACAAAAAAAATCCTGAGATGTGCTAGGCAGCCATCCTGAAGCACCCATAACCCCATGACCCCCTGAGGATTTCAAAGCAGCCAGGGCCATGCCATGCAGAGAGGCTCCCAAAGGTCTGGGCACCCTTCTGGGATGCAAGCAGGAGGCTCCACTCCTCCCCAGTCCAGTGGGATGGCAACTGCTGAGCTCTCCCTCCATTTATCCTTCCTCATCGATAGGGGCTTGTCTCAGCCTTGCTCTGCAACAACAGCAGAGCCTCACACAGGTCGTGGAGCGTGGCAGCAGATTGCTGTGCAACCGGCTGCAGGGAGATGGGGAAACTGAGGCACCTGACCGGGAAATGCTGCGGTGGGGATATGGGCAACCCACAGCTGCCAGACTGCCGAGCTCCTGGCAATCCCAGGAGGGCTGTGTGAGAGCTGCAGGCCTGTTTGGCAAGGGGACATTGACCCACTTGCAGAGAAACCTTCTCTCCTGGGTGCCCCTGCTCCTGCCCTGCCCCCCCCACAGCCCCAGAGCCCACCCGGGTGGGAACTGCTCCCCACCAGACCCTCCAAAGGCTCCTTTCCAAAGGCAGCCTCAGCTGCAGGCTGCCTGGAGGGGAAAAAAAAAAGCAAAAGCGGGCAGACGGAGTGGCTCAGGCCAGGCACACAGGAGGGGGCTATTAGGGACCCCCCTCCTGCAGGCAGAGCCCCCCCGGCACAGCCTCCCCACCACTATGCGGGGGTCCCACAGGCAGCGTGAGGCCTGCAGCCCACCCAACCGCAGGGCTGCGCGGCAGGTGCTCAGGCACGAGGTTCCGGCCATCGGGCTGCCCCCCCCAGCCCCCTATAACCCTCCCCGTGCCCCCTTTCGGCCCCCCCTAGGGGCAGGCGGCGGCCCCTTTAAGAGCCGAGCTGCCCCCGCCCCGCCCTCCGGCCCCTTCCCCCCGTTTCTATTTTTTTATGAATGAAAAACGGCCTCGGCGGGGCCACGCCGAGCGCGCCGCGCCCATTGGCTGCCGCGCGCCCCTCCCACCCCGCCGGCCTCAATGGGGCCCTGGGAGCGCCGAGGGGGCGGGCTCTCGGACTCCATTCGACCAATCGGAAGGCGGGGAAGCCGGGGCGGCGGCTCCCCATTGGGCGGTGCCGAGGGTAAACAAGCGGCGCTGGGCGGGGCGCGGCGGGGGCCGCTGGCTCGGGGGCTGGGGGCCGGCGCAGAGCGGCAGCGCGGTGCCCGCTGCTGCCCGGGCGTGGAGCGGCGCTTCCCGAGGCTCAGCCCGGTGCTGGGTGCCCGGTCCCGGCCGTGCCTGCAGCGGGTGAGCCCCCCCCCCCAGCACGGCTCCGCGGGGCCCGGCCCGGTGCGGGGCGGGGGCGGTGTTTATGAATGGCGCGGGGTGAATGGAGGGGGGGAGGAGGTTGGGGGGGGTGGGGGGGGAGGAGGAGGAAGGGGGAAGGGGGAAGGAAGGGGGAAGGAAGGGGGAAGGGGGGGGGCGGAGTTTATGAATGGGGCGGCGTGGGAACGGGCCCGGCTGCGGTGCGGCCCTGCAGCGCCGAGCACCGGCGGGGCGCGGGGGGGGGCAACGGGGGGAGCGAGCGGCGGCGGAGCTGGGAGCTGGGAGCTGGGAGCTGGGGGCTGGGGGCTGGGGGCTGGGGGCTGGGGGCCGCCTGCTCGCGGCGCCTGGTGGCACGGCGGGCTCCATAGAAATCCGCTGACATCACGACGGGGGGCCCGCAGCGGCCCCCGGCCAGCCCCGGGGGCGGCAGAGCTCGGGGACGGGTCCTGAGATCTCCGCTTCCCCCCCCAACCCCACCCCACCCCACCCCACCCGCCCCCTTACCCCGCAGCCTCGCACCTGCCGGAGCCCAGGCGGGAGCCCCCTTCCCGGGCTGCTGTCGATGCTGAGCGTGCCGGGGGCTCTGTCCGCCTGCCCCGCACCATGGATGGCTTCTACGACCAGCAGGTTCCCTTCATGGGCCCCGGGGTAAGTTTGCCCCGTGCCCCCTTTTTCCCGGTTCCTGGGGGTTCCCGTGGCCGCCCCCTTCCCGAGCCGCTCACGCCCTGGTCCTTGCAGAAGTCGTGCACCGAGGAGGGCCGAGGCCGCCTGGGGTCCGACAGGAAAAGGAAGTTTTTGGAGACCGACCTGGCCCACGACTCGGAAGGTGAGCGGGGCTGCCAGCGGGTCCCACTGTGCCCTCGCTGGGGTCCTGAGGAGCCGGCTCTCCTTGGGCCTGTTGGCTTAGAGAGAGAATTGGGAAATAGCGGCCCCCTTTTATTTATTTTTCTGTCGGTGCCTGAGTCTTTCACTCTGTTCAGAGCTTTTCCAGGATCTCAGCCAGCTCCAAAGGCCTGGCTAGCTGAAGGCAAGTCTCACCTCCGCCTTTTGCCATGTCAAATCTGTGCGCGAGCATTTCTTGCGGACCCGAAAGTGCTATCAAACCTTATTTTTTAAGTTTTTAGCTCAGGTCCCGACGACGCACAATTGTCCCAGATTTCCAGCTGACACCTGTAAGTACTGCTTACGGCTTTTGTTCTCGGGGGTGGAAGCGTTGAGCGTGGCCTGTGCAAAAACGTCGCGCTTGCTTTGGGGTCGCTCCTTGGGGATTGGCTGCTGCCGAATCTGAAACCCCGAAGCCTCTCTGCCTTTGGGGAGAAAGCACGTGTGTGTGTGTGCTGCTTGGGCTCACGAAGACAAGGCTCACAGTTCCCTGCGTCTCATAACGGGGAAAACTACAGCCAACCGCATGGAAAATATCTCTAACTGATCTCTGGGCTCCTCTGAGACTCGCTGCTTGTTCCTAGTAACGTGATTGCTTATAATGCTGCTTTTCCTTTCAAGTGGATGGGAGAGCCCGTGCTGGGCTTGTTGGTTAGCCACAATTCTCTGCAGTTTCTGGAGCTTTTTGCAGTCCTGGCCTAGCGCTGTTGGCAAGAGCAGACCTGAGCGGTGAACTTGAGCTGCTTTAAAGCAGCATTAATCTCTGGCAAGCAAGCACGTTTAAAAAAGGAGGCCAGTGAAAATGCAGTCCCTCTTGAATTGCATAATAAGAGCGAGCGTTTTCCTAGTCGTGGTTCATTGCCCAAACCAGTCAGCGGCCGGGGCAGGGGCTGGTGTGCAGTTAATGGTGTGTGGGGCTTGCACCAGGCTCGGTGCCGACAGTCCTGGCGCTGAGGGCTGGAGGGGGGTCGGGATGTGTTGGGTTGTTACCTGGAGAGCAGAAGTGGCAGCCTCGCGTTCCTAGCTGCCTTCTGCTGCTGAACCAGACAGCCGCAGAACTTAAAGGAAATCAAATTTAGCCTGCAGTCGAACAGATTTCTCATTCCAGCTTTGTCACAGCATGCAGCAGAGTATCTTATACTACAGTAAACGCATGTTAATTATTGCCCTTTGATTACTTCTGAGTGGGAAGCTTGCCATTAAACTGTTCCAGACAGCCCAAGTTTCAGATGCGCTTTTTTTTTTTTTTCTCCCCCCCCTTCTCCCCTGAGATAAAAGGCAAGCCCGGAGTCAGAAACGCGGCTCGCTGTTGACATCCTGGTGCAGCCCGTCAGCTCTTGCTCGGAGCAGTGCAAACTGCAGCGTGCGTGGGAGGGCGGCTCGGAGAGCTGGAGCTGTTTCCAGTGCCTTTTGGCAGTCTCTTGTTTCCTTGTAACCTGAAGAGCTCAGAGAGAGGAGACAAACTTTTCTGGGCGATGCAGGGAGGGAAAAGCATTTGGTCGAGGCTTTTAAACGGTCTTTTAACCTGCTCGGCCTCTGCAGCCCCGGTGTTGAGGTGATGATGTCGCTTGGAAGGCGATGTCCCTGCGTGACTTCCCGCTCCGATAACCTTCCTGAACTCTCCTGGGGAGATAAAGCAGAGCTTTCTCTTGCTGTTGGGCTGGGCTCGGGGGGTTTGGCTGAGTGCTCCTGCACACAGAGGCTTGTGGGGCTCGACAGCAGCTCCTGGGGGGCACGGTGGTGCCCTGCCTGGGAGATGGGGAGCCCAGCTCCTCCGTGGAGTCCCCAACCAGTGCTACAGCTCAGGGGGTGACAGTGCTTGAGAGCACCTGCAGTGGGGGAACCGCAAGGGACGGGTCCTGCTCAGCTCTGAGCCTGTGGCCCACGTGTGCTGGGCCAGGTCCTGGTGGCGCTCCGAGCTGCAGCCCTGCTCTTACCCTGCTGAGCCCCCACGTAGCGTGCTGGCCGCCTGCTCACAGGTTGGGGCTTTCTGCAGAAAATGTGTCCATGTGGATGGGGAAAGCAGGGCTCCTCTGAATAAAGTGTGTGTTGTCCTCGGTGCCCTTGGTGGAGCCGCGAGAGGCTGGGTTTGGTGCTTTTTAAGCCACCCAGGAGATATGGGACTCCCTAGAGCTGCCGTCTGGGTATCCAGGGGGCATCCAGGCAGAGGGGCAGCTCCCGTTCCTGGTGGGGTAATTTCCCTGGTGGGGACAGGCACAGTGCTGGAGAAGCAGATTCTCCTGCAAGGATGGGCGAGCTGTGCGTGCCACCCACCTCCCTGGCCAGGTGTAGGGCTAACACGTCCTGTGTCCCTTGTCCTCTGTCCTGTGTCCCTTGTCCTCGTGCCCTGGCGAGAAGAATATGTGCATGGTGTAGTATCTTGATCAGTTGTTAAAATAACCAGGGAGAGATAGGATTGTGTTGTGGAAAGCAAGCATTGAGAGGCGCTTTTTTTCCCCTGCAGGCACAAGGTGTGAAGGTCTTGAAGGGTGTCCCTAGTTTTTCTGGGGGGAGAGGCTGGTCCCTGGGGACTTTTTCCCCCCTGCTGGGATGGTTTGCAGCTAAAGTCGTGAGCAGGGCGTGGAGTGGGTTTTCGTACATGCCAAAATTAAAGAAGGAGGCTTGTTTCCGAGGAAGGATTGTTTAAACAAAGGAAAGCAGGAGCACAGCTTCTATTTCTGGCTCCTCTCCTGGCGTGACCTTGGGTGCGTCCTGCTCCAGCGGTGCCTGGCGTGATGGGACACGGGGGCTGCCAGAGTTTGGTGCCCATGGCAATGGCTGGAGTGGGTGCCGAGGTCCCCGAGCTGGTGGCTGTGCTGGGAGTGGGGCTTCGGTCACTTCCCCTCTCCGTGGGCAGCGGGTGCTTGCAGCAGCAGAGCTGCTGTCCTCGAAGCTCACCGCATGCCATCCAAATCAGGCCTCAAGGCTCAAAGCCCTGGCAGCCCCAAACAGCTTTGGGGTGTCCCCTTTACGTGGCCAAGTCCCGGAACGGGCGAGCCTCTGTGCTGCTCCCTCCGTTGGCTTTTTTAGCTTTTAATTACAGCAAGGAGCGGAGGAACCAAGAGGTTCGGAGCGCTTGTGCTCCTGCCGTGCCTTTGCGGCACCGGCTGCTGGGGCAGGGTGTACCTTTCCCACTCAGCACCTGGAAAACCGAGGTCAATTGTGGCACGTTCTTCCTTGCCAGCAAGGAACCGAAACCCAAATCCCAGGCCCTGTGGGCTGCTCGGACTCTGGGGCAGGAGAGCAGCAGGGCCGGGGACCCAAAGGCAGCTCGGTGCGAGCCGTGGCTGCGTGACGCTTTCCCCGAGCGGCCGCCCGCATTTATTTTGTCTTTCTCCTCGCTCCCTGCTCTCGCCGAAGGGCGTTCCGGCCCCAGCGCCTTGCACAATCGCCTGGGCTTTGAATGAACTTGGCGGAAAGGCAGCGTGGTGAGGAGCAGCGCAGGCCAGCCCCGCGGTGTTTGTGTAAGGAATCCAAACGTTGCACAAAGTCCGGGCCGCTCGGCGCAGCCAGCTGGTCTCTGTTATGATCTGAAGGATCGTTTCCCTTTTCTTGAATGGCAGCGCTAAGCTCTGGGGAAATTTTTCTTTCTTTCTGTCTTTTTTTTTTTTTTTTTCTTCCCCAACCGCATGAATGGAGCGCTCCAAATTGTTTGTGAATGGAGGGTGGTGCCCGCTCCGAGAGGTTTTTTTTTTTTTTTTTTTTTTTTCCTTCAATGAATAACCAGACCCCATTGTGCGGCTGGCGGAAAAACAACCCTGCTCGAACAACACGGAGCCTGTTAGGGAGAAACATGCCCGTGATAGGCAGCTGGAGCCCTTCCAAAGCAAGTTTCCCCTCTGCTTTCCCGTGCCTCGCGGGGTGCCTGAGCTTCACAGCCTCTGCGCTGGCCCCCGTTAACACCCGAAATGCTTGGGAGCAGCCTGGCCTCGCTCCTGGGGAGGGGCTGGGGGGGGAAATTTGTCTCCGGGGGGGGTTCCAGGGAGCATAGGGGCTGTGCTTGCTCAGCCTGGGCTTCGTGTTTCAAATACTCCCTGGAGTTTTTTATGCCCTTGGTACCAGCTGTGCTGGGCTGCTTGAGGGGGGGCTGGGGGAGGATCAGCAGCTCTTTAAAGGTTTTGACAAATTAGGGGAGCAGCTAATTACCTGGCAAGCTGTGAACAGTTGTCCTGGAGCTATTCGCTCCTCTCTGGCGTAACTGGGCTGTGTTTAGACTTCTCACGAAGCTAATACTCTACTTCCGACTGGTCTTGGCTCTCCGGTTCAGGCATGGTTTAGGTAAAGATCTCGGCCACGCTTTCCCTTTCCCAGAGCGCCCGCTTTTAGATTTAAGAGGTTAAGCATTTATTGCCCCATTTTAAAACGCTTATATATATATATATATAGTGAGTGGGCCTGGTGGTGCTGTGGGGGTGGATGTCTTGGGGTTTCACAGCCCGTTTGCCCCTCGGACTCGTAACACCATGGCTCTCCTCCCCTGTGCCCTGGTGGTCCCGGGGCTGTGTCCCCTTGGTCACGAGGCTGCGCCCCGGAGATGCGGGGCTGCCAGCTGGCTGCTTGCCGCTCCTCGCCACAGCTCTGCCCCGCTATTTTGGAGCCAAGAGAGCTCGTGCCAGCTTTCCCTGCCTGCATCTCCCACTCAAACCATGAAGCTGCCGAAGGTGGTGGTGGGAACAGAGCTTGGGTTTGTTGCAGACACGGCGTGCAGCAGCTGAGGGGCTGGGCAGAGGGCAGCGTGATGCTGTACGGCCAGGCTCATCGCCCCTCGCAGGAGGGGTTTGGGTTTGGGTGCCCTTGCTGTGGGGTTCGTGTGCTGGCAGCACCTTGCCCTCCCTGCCACCATGGCTTGGTCTGCTAGCACGTATGGGCTGGGAGGATGGAGCTGCAGGGCCTCCAGCCTGCTACGATGTGGTTATCTGATGCTCCTGGCCCCAAGGCTGTGCATCTGAACCCCCAGCACCCAAGAGGATGCTCCCCAGGGCTGGCAGCACCCATTGCCTGCTCCCATGCTGGGTCAGAATCCGTGGCGGTGCAACCAGGGCTGGGAACACACAGTGACCGTGTCCTCCTCCTCCTCCTCCTCCTTCTCTCCTCTCTCGTTCCAGTAGTCCTGCACGCCCCACCTCCGGCCAAGATCAAGCGGGAGCTGCACAGCCCTTCCTCGGAGCTGTCGGCCTGCAGCCACGAGCAGGCTCTCTGTGCCAGCTATGGAGACAAGTGCCTCTACAACTGCTGGTAGGTCGCCGGAGGCGAAACCCCTCCAGGCAGCACAGGCTGCTTCTGGCACCCTCTCAGAAGCCCAGCAGATGGGGCTGGGTGGCAGGGAGCATCCCATCAACGTGTGCCCCCCACGGCACTGGATGTCGGCACTGGAGCCGGCAGGAATTTGGGGACCCCCGTGGCACTGGGAACAGAGGGGGAGCCCCTTGTGGGTGCAGGGATGGTGAGGGCTGTACTGCGGTTCCCTCGGGGATGCCACCCACCCGGCCGCGTTGGCTTTATCACGGAGCCACCAGCACCATCCTCACCGTCCCCTCTTGCCCCCTGCAGTGCCTACGACAGGAAGCCCCCCGCTGGGTTCAAGCCATTAACGCCGCCCGCCACGCCGGTGTCCCCCACGCAGCCGGGATCCTCCCTGCCAGCCCCGGCGGTGCAGGCGGCTGCCCATGGCACCCCAGCGGCCCCGCTCCGCAGCGCTGTGCCCGCCCCGCGCCCGCTGCACGAGCAGAGGCAGCAAACCTTTGCGGTGCCGCGGCCGCCTCACCAGCCCATGCACATGCCAAAGATGATGTCGGAAAACCAATTCCCCGCAGAGCACAGGTAAGGATCGGCGGCCTTCCAGCTGTGGGGAAGGGAGGTGGGACACCCGGCACCTCGGAGTGATTTGGAGAGGGGAGAGGAGGATTTTTGGGCGGCAAGGGAGACACCCTGCTTCCCTTCTTCATCAAGCTGTGGCTTCATCCTGTGGCAGTGCCATCGGGGTGTCCCCTCGGGGCACCCAGCGGGTGCCCAGGACGCGCATCCCTCCCCAAGCAAAGGGGGGCAGCAGCTGGCCCCGGCCCGGAGCTCGGCTCCGGGCGACCTTCGAGCTATGCGGGGGGCTGGCCGTGACCCATCTGGAAGCGCCATACCAGCACGGGGCTTGGGTTTCACTCAGGAAGGGCAGGGGGACGCGGGTCGGAAATGGAGTAATCCCAGCCCGTCAGCTGGGGGGGATCTGGTTACAAAGCCAAATGGCGCGCGGCGGCCCCGAAAGGACCGGGCGCGCGGAGATCGCCTTTCAAGGTGCTGGGCCGGGCAGGGGACGAGGCAGCAGCACCCCCTCGGGATAGTCCCGTACCCCCACGGTAGCACAGAGCCTGGGCGGAGGGCACCGGTGCCTCTGGCTGAAAATAGTGCTCCCGCCGCCCCGCGCAAGGTTTAATCCCAGCAGATTAGCGGCCAGCTGGCTCTGCGGCGCTGCGCAGGGGATTTGGCTTTGCGTAAGCGCCTGCAGGGCTGCAGCGTCCTCGGGCCCCGCGGCTCTGCCTCACCGTGATGCCGCCCCACTGCCTCCCAGGGCTGGGTTTATTTCTAATTATCGGGGGGTTGGTTTTGTTTCCCGTGCTTTTATCCAAGCAGCCTTGGTAAGGTGTGTGTCGGGGGTGCCCCCCGTGCCTTCCTGCTCACCCAGCTGAGGGTCCCCATCCCTTGGCTGGGGAACCCATGGCCCTACTGCATGATTTCCCCATCCCAGATGGGTGTCCCACTGGCCGAGCCATCAGCAGTCGCCCCACGCACCCCAGGTGACGCCGTGTCCCTTTTCCCCCCAGGTTTCAGAGGCAGATGTCTGAGCCCTGCCACCCCTTCCCGCCGCAGCCCGCCGTCCCCGGGGACGGCCGCCCCGTCTACCACCGGCAGCTGTCGGAGCCCGTCGGCCCTGCCACCCCCCACCCTGCTCAGGGATTCAAGCAGGAGTACCACGACCCGCTCTATGAGCACGCCGGCCCCAGCCTGCCTGCCCCCCCCGGGCACAGCTTCCAGTCCCCCATGGGCATCAAGCAGGAGCCCAGGGACTACTGCATCGACTCAGGTGGGTGGCAAGCGGGGCGGGCTGTGACGTTGGATCTGTGCCCCTTGCAGGCAGGGAACAGCAGTGCTGTAGGGTTGTCTTTTTTTTATTTTTCCCCCTCTTTTCTTTAAAAGGGGCGACGCAGGTATTCCCCAAACGCTGCACGCTGTGACTGTGTGCTCCTGCGTGCAGCAGGGGGGTGTCCCCAGGGCCTGTGCCCACCCTGCTGCAGTTTCTGGTGGCTGGTGCTGAACCCCACCAGCATCACGGAAAATCCTCTAAGCGCCTTAGGGCCTAAAAATACTGTGACCTCAGGCTGGCGGGAGGTGGGTCGGTGCAGCCGAGCAGATGGCAGGGGAGGGAGGCAGCCAGAAACCCCGCGCTGCTCATGGGCTCCTGCTGCCTCCCTTAGCGCGTGGCCCAAATCATTTGGTGGAAACATGCCGTGATGCGGACTGTGCCACCCGTGGTTGTTCAAGTGCCCCCCGCCCATGTAAATTACACCGTTTTCTCCCCAAAGATAGGTGACATGAGGTGGCACAAGGTGGGGAGGGACAAGATGCCCAGGAGAGAAGGTGCTGTGAGGCTTACCACTGCCTTTTCTCTCCTGCAGAAGTGCCTAACTGCCAGTCCTCGTACATGAGGGGGGGCGTCTTCCCCAGCAGCCACGACGGTGAGTGTGCCTCCTGGCTCAGGGCTGGGAACTTGGGGATGGGTCACATCGCCGTGTGCCTCCCCAGCCCTCCGTCCTGTCCCTTGCGAGGGCCTTGGCAGGGTCTCTCTGTGCCCAGGGTTTTAGGGTTTTCCTTGTGCCAAGCCTCTCCCCCCGGGCAGGGATGGGAGTGGGGTGAGGGCTTGGCTCCTGGGGGCCGTGTGCTGTTGCATCCCCTGGTGCAGGCCAAGTCTCTGGGGCTGATTCAGAGGTAAGAAAGGTTCATGGCCACCCAGTAGCTAAGGACGGGTCCCCAGCAGTGCTGGCAGACCCCATGGTTCCTCTCCCACCACCCAATGAGGTCTGGCAGAGCCACGGGACACCCCAAAAATACCGGGAGCACCATGTCACCTGTGAGGGACGTGATCCTCGCGCCCTGGCACCGGGTGTGCACTGTGAGGGCATGGGAGCAACGTGCTGCCCCGTGTAATCCGGGATAACATGCCCAATATAGCTGCTAAGAGGGTTTTGGTTATTCCAGCTCCTTGGGGTGAGGGGAGGACAGATCTGTGCTGCGCTCAGCTAGCCGGACATGGCAACGAAGCCGACGGCATGGCCAGAAATAACCACGGAGGGGGCAGCTCCCAGCCCTGGGACACCGGGTCTGTGAGCTGGCTTGGGCCCAGCCAGGTGTCGTGAGGATGGGGCAGGGGCCCCGTGCTAACGGGAGGGCTCTTTCCCCTAGGATTTTCGTATGAAAAGGACACGCGATTGTACTTCGATGACACGTGTGTGGTACCGGAGAGACTGGAGGGTAAGCAGCCAGCCAAGGGGCGGCGGGGGCAGGCTCCGCACCCAGGGGTGCCCACACAGGAGCCGCCGGGTTCAGAGGCCGCTCAGCGTCACTGCTGTGCCCTGGCCATGCCCTTGGGGCTGAGCATGTTCCCGTGTCCTGGGGCTGAGCCGGCTGTCTCGCTGTGGACAGGTAAGGTGAAGCAGGAGCCCACCCTGTACCGCGAGGGCCCTCCCTACCAGCGGCGGGGGTCCCTGCAGCTCTGGCAGTTCCTCGTCACGCTCCTGGACGACCCCGCCAACGCTCACTTCATCGCCTGGACCGGCCGCGGCATGGAGTTCAAGCTGATCGAGCCCGAGGAGGTATGGGGCGTGTGAGGGGTGGGGGGCAGCCCCTTCCCCACCCACGGGTGGTGCAGAGGAAGAAGCTGCTCGGGAAGCAATTGAAAGCAGCTGCGGCACCGAGCCGTGTGCTGTGGGTAATTACCCGTAATGTCTGCTACGCCGTGCATGGAAATTGCGGCGGTGAAGCAGCTTTTCTGGCAGGCTCCCCCAAATCAAACGTCTTTTGATTCAGCCTCTGGTTCCGTGCCGGCTGCGTTGTGGCAGCCGGAACCGCCCGAGTGCTTCTTGTGCCCATCACCCATGGGCTGGGCTCAGAGGGGCCGGGGTGAGGCCATGCCCTGGTTCCAGGCCCTGAGCAGCATCCCGGGGCGGGCAGAGCCTGGGGGGTTCGGCTTTCGGGGGGGACCTGTGCCCAGACACAGGCTGGAGCTGTCACGGCTGCGGCCTTTCGCTCTCCAGGTGGCGCGGCGCTGGGGTATCCAGAAGAACCGTCCGGCCATGAACTACGACAAGCTGAGCCGCTCCCTGCGCTACTACTACGAGAAGGGCATCATGCAGAAGGCAAGTGGCCTCGTGCCCACCTAGGGGTGGCCGTCCCCAGCGTCACCCCCCTGTTGGCATGCCACTGGCCCGGCCCAGCCTCTCGTTCCCGGCCCCTGATGCCCATTCTGCTTGCAGGTGGCCGGCGAGCGGTATGTCTACAAGTTCGTGTGCGACCCCGACGCCCTCTTCTCGATGGCCTACCCCGACAATCAGCGCCCCTTCCTGAAAGCGGAGCCCGACTGCCACGTGAACGAGGAGGACACGCTGCCGCTGACGCACTTCGAGGACAGCCCCGCGTACCTGCTGGAGGTGGATCACTGCGGCGGCCTTCCCTACGCGGAGGGCTTCGCCTACTGACTTGGCCGGCCGGCACAGCGACGAGCACTAGCACCTCCGCTTTGGGCAAATAAGGGCAATGGTTTTGTAAAGAATACTTTTTGCCGTTTCTTATATAACAAAAACCCACACCAACGAAACAGAAAAGGAGACGAGAGGCGTGTGCGCACACACAAACTGGCCTTTCCCTGTCAGCGCAATTTGGAGGAAGCGAAAAGCCCCGGTGTGTGTCAGCGCTGAGTCCACAACCTTACTGTCCAAGGGCTAGTGCGTAGGACTGCCCGTGGCTGGCACCTCCCGCCAGGCATCCCAGAGGTGTTTTGGGGAGAGGGGAGCTAAACACCAAGTCTCTGACCCAGGCCACGTTTCTCATGAGCAAGCGCCGGCCGATGGCTTCGGCAGCGCCCGTGAGACTGGTCTAGACGGTGTGACTGTGTAGCGAATTGTCACGACAATCTGCTTTGCATCGATCACAATATGCGTAGCTGCCTTGTGTGTTGGAAAGGGCTTCGATTTGCACAGGCGAGGGGTGTCTGGGGGGGCTCGGGCTGGGGGCACACCGTGCCCGTGCCCCAGGGCTGATGTGCATGGTGTCCCACCCCGAGCTGGAGCAGCCTTCTGCCTTCTTCCTGGACAACACCTCCCCGCCCCACCTCGTTCCCCTCGAGTGTTGCTCTCCCATGTAACAGTCCCTTAGCCTGCCCCCCCCCCCCCCTCTTTCCTGGGACCTCCTCAATTCTCTTCCCCAGCTCAGGCTCTGTGCGTAATTTCAGGGGAGGAGATCATGACACTATCTATCTTCCTCCCCCCCCCCCTTTTTTTTTTTTTTTGGAATGTTTTAGGAAAAAAAAATCTAAACTTTTTTTTTTTTCTGTAGAATTTTTTTGTATTTTAAGGCAAAGCTATTTTCTGCAGCCCTGCTGCTGTGCCCTGGGGCAGCTGGCAGTGCATGGGGAGCTACCCCGGCTGCCCCCAGCCGTGTACGTGCCCCCACGGCACTGAAGTTTCTGGTCCACTCCATTTCACTGCTCGAGTCCTTGCTCCTGGGGGGCGTCCAAGACTGAAAGGGCAAGAGCTCAGCCTCATTCCCTTCTGAGCACAGTGGGGCTGGGCTGTGGGGCCCCCCTACCCACTGCAGCTCCCCACACTCCTCCACCTCTCATATACGCATAACCCCACCAGCTACATGTTTTTGTTGTAAATGCTGTATAGGAATTTTTTTCTCCTCCTTAGTTAGCTTTGTTTGGATTTTTTTTTTTGGACTGAGTCATTCTTTTTTTTTTTTTTTTTTTTTTTTTTTTTTTCGGGGAAGTATGAAGATTAACCCCCAGTAGGCTTGGTTGCTATCCCTGTGATGTACAAGTGGCCCGTGCCATCGGGAAGCATTGGATCGCGGGAGCCGCACCTTGGGGACAGCTGTAAGCATTTGCTTAGTGTGGCAGGTCTACGGTGCAGGAAGGGGTTAATCTGAGGACTGATTTCAAATAACCTTTACTTGAGCAGGGCTATGTATCTCCTGCAAAGCTGCATTACGTTCTGTACTGTGTACAATAAAGGATCTTGCTTTCTGTTCCTCCTGTCTGCCCGGGCTGTGCTTGGCATGTGCCGTGAGCTGGTGGCAGGGCCACCACTGCTGGGGGGACTGGGGCTACCCAGGGAGGGGCGAAAAGGATGGGTGGGCTTCTCCACCTGCTTTTGAGGCAGAACCACGTGTGGGGACTGTGTGTGATGCCCCTGGGACCACTTGGAGGTGAATAGGGGAGGAGGGGTGAAGCCTCTGTGCTTGGCTCTCCTGCCCCACCTCCAGGGCCCACAGCACCTTCACAAAGCCATGTCCAGCTAGGGGATCCGCTCGAGTTGGGCCAGTTTCTCCCCTGTGGGCACTGATTTAATACAGCCTGCTCCCGAGCACTGCCATAGAGGAGGGAGGCAGGGCAGTGTCTGTCCCCTTTGCTCACCCCCGGAAACCTGAGACCCCACCAAGGGCACCAGGAGCCGGAGCACGGCTCTCTGTGCTTCACCTTGGGCTTTTAGCAGCTGGCAAGCTAAATAAGCTGCTCCATGTAAATCAAACCTGGGGCCTCTCGTTTGTCACCTGAGGACTGGGATTTATGATTTGCGTGGGTGCTGCAGGGCACGATGCCTCCCCCACGTTATCCATGCATGAAGCCACGTCTCCCACCCCAGCAGTGCTGGCCGAGGTGGCCCTGAGCTCACCAAAGTTAGCCAGCAAAATCAATGCAACCTGCACAAAGGCTTCCACAGAGTTAAACGGGCTGCTCAGTCCCTGAAGGCACCTCCTCGTGCTGCCTGGAGAGCTCCATGGCACCAGCCTGGGTGTTTCAGCATGCAAGCGCGCTGTGGGATCCTCCAAGTGATGCTCAGCTGCAGCCATCCAGACATGGGGAGACAGCCCAGAGGGAAGGAGCATCGGGAGGGCTTTAATCCAAGCTATTAAATCAGACCTAATGTCAAAGTGGGCTGCACGTGCTCTTTGCCAGGCTGTGGAAAGCCAGCCTCTTGATGAATACTTCAGCTCCAGTCGTTGATGCCCAGTAATCGCATTTTAACAGGGATTGCAGCAGGCTGCGCTGGAGCTTGGGACAGAAAAGGGAAAACCAGGGCACGGGCAGCACTGCTGGCCGGGCAGCTGGGAAGCAGCTGGCCCCAGGAGGCAGGACCTCAACCCAGCAGCACAGTGAGCAAGTAAGCACCGCACGTGTCAGGATGTGACTACCAGGAAAGACTCCAGCGACTTCCCACTGCTTCAGCAGCACTGGACCAGCTGCAGGAAGGGGTGCACCCAGCACTGACAATGGGGAGAGCACCGGGCTGCACCCCATGGCTCTGAAGTCCCGGGTGTAAGCACACAGAGAAGTGCAGATTCCAGTTTTCCAAGCTGCCGCCCCATCACATCTCCTGCCCACAGCATCCCCAGCGACGTTCACCCCCAAGACTTGCCCCAGTGCCTCACAGCACCACCTGCCTCCTCCCACAGGGTAAGAGCTTGTTTTCACCAGGTAAATAGCTCAAAAGCTACTCAGATGTTAGACACGCTAATGATTTTTTGGAAAAGGGGGGACCATATAGGGGAGAGCATCGCTACAGCCCTATGCACATCCATTATTTACTGCGTGTGTTTTTGCTCTCCCCATCTCTGATGGATATAGCTAGACTGGAATCTGTCCAAAAAGCAGTAGAGAAAGCCAAAGGTCTGCAATGTATTTTACAGAGGGGCATATAAATAGACTAGCATTTTTTTTATTATTATTATTATTTTTTGTGGCTCAGGAACTTCATATTTAATAGCCCACAATGGAGTTTTCCATCCCTTACTGGAAAAGCATTTTCAGGAAGCCTTTCTGTGCCCTGGGCAAGGCCTCAGGGGCAAGGTCCCCAGGGCAAGGTCTCCCCAAGGTGCTGTGCAGCCGGCAGCGGCTCTGCCCCAGCCTGGAGGTGCCCCGTGGCTTCAGCCAGCTCCAAGCCTGGCTTTGCAGCTCGGGCGTGCAGCTGCCTGCTGCTGGCCCTGCCCGGGGCCACATCCCAGGCAGCTCTTCTCTTCCCCAGCTCATCAAGCACTTGGTTTTAAAACGATCGGCTTCACTCGGCTTTTAAGCGCCTCCAGCAAAGTGATTGGCGGCATTTGAGAAGTCAACTTCAAGGTGAGGAGCTCCGGAAAAAACAAAACAAAACAAAACAAAACAAAACACAAAACACAGCAATAATGTGAGTGAGGCGACTTGGGGAGCACCAACCCCCAGGAGCATCCCCAGGTGTGAGGAGGGGCGCATCTCCATTTGCATCGGTCTGGCACCACCTCGTGGATACCCATCCTCGGCTCCTGGCCCCTGTGGCACTGCGTGGACACATAGCATGAAGTGACAGGGCACCCAGCAAGACCTTTGGTCCCCAAAATGCGGCTGCGTTTGTGCTCGGGTTCCCAGGCACACAGCAGCACCGTGCTGCAGAGCAGGAGCCGCAGCTGGGCTGCGTTCAGGAAGGAAAGCGCCTCCTCCCGGGCTCGCATTGGGAAGAAAGCGAGGGCTTCTTGTCCCCACAATGTGTCCTTTTCCTCTCTGCATTGGAAAAAATCAGGAAAAGTTGCGAAGACACTTTGAAAAGGAGAGGAAGGGGCACCCGCAGCCGCGGAAGGGGGCAGGGAGCCGGGGCCAGGCTGCCGGGACCCTTCCGAGCCCTCGGTGTTTCTTTGCAAGGCTGCACGAGGAGCGGCTCCCCGGGGCGAGCTGCACCCCTGCTAACAGGAATTTCTTTGGAAAAACTCAGCTTTTGGCTCGGCGGCAGCCCCGGAGCCAGGAGAGGGCAGCAGCAGCCCGGGCTGCCGCTCAGCAAGCCGTGCAGGCACTCGTCTTCAGCCCGTGAAGAGCTCCGAAAAGGCTGAGAAAGAAAAGCAGGGTGTGTAGGCAGCGAGCAGAGAGCAAAACCACGCTGGGCAGGCTAGCGGTACTCTCTAGGTGCTCAAAATGGCTTGGTTTTAAGGGGAAAGAAAATGACCTGCCTTTGAACGCAGTCTGGAAATGCGGAGGTTTCTGCAGCCTTTGCCAAAGATGCTGTGGGTTTTTTACCAGCCCTGCTGCAGGGCCCTGTGCTGGAGCTCTTGTGGCTTCGCCCAGAGCAGTGCAGCATCACGAGAGGTGCTTGAAACACTGCACGGTCAGGCTGGCTTCTCCTCTCTCGGCTTTCAGCCCCTGGGACAGACCGGAGACGCTGGGGAAGTTTCTGCTTTGGCCCCCACTTCCCATCGGTCCCCCAAATGCAGGCTGCTACGTTTCCCTCCTGGCCCAGCCTGAAGTTTGCACCACGGTGAAAACCCTCCTGCAGATTTCCACCCCAGCACCACCTTTTTACATCAGGACTTCCCTTTTAGACTGGCCAGACTGGTAGCACCCTCCTGGTGCGGGGTGATATCACTGGGCGTGAAGGCTCCCTGTGCCCAGCCCCACCGGGGCGAGTCCCAGGGCTGGTGCGTGGCAGGAGGACATCCTTATGGCCCTGCTGAAATCCTCCCTGCTGCTCCCATGTGTGCCACACAGCCAGCCAGGTCCTGCTTCCTCTCTGCGTGCTCCCTGGTGCACGGGCACCGCATCCCTCTCCTGGCTTCAGGCACAAGGGTGAGCCCGCTGCTGCACGGCCTCTGCCATCAGCCAGGCTCACACGACTTGGATTTTTGTTTTTCTTTTTTAGTTCACACCCTCTGCAATCACAGCAGAGCGCAAAGTTGTTGCTCGCTGAAGCTGTTCTCCTGAAATGAGTCACTAACGAGGAGTCTCATAACGTTGCCAGACGCATCCTGTTTGCCTCTCTCTGAGCGTAACGAGACAAGAGACCAGCTCGCGGTGCCAGCTGGGCCCCAGCCTGCCTGCCCCTCGGGGTTCACCCTCAGCCGGGACAGAGCAACCCCTCGCCATTCCCACCTCATCTACGAGGCAGCTGACCAGCCCTTTCCACCCCAGGTTTGTAAGGAAGCCCTGCATGTCCATCGGCTGGCTGTGATCACAGTCCTTTTACTGAGCATGCAAGCAGGAGCTCCTCTCCTGCGTTTCTGTGTTGGGCTTGGAGCGCCAAGCAGCTGCAGCAGGGAGGGCTGCAAAGGAGATTTTGGATGCTGGGAAAGCCTCTGTGAGCTTCTGAACTCGAAGCTTTGGGCTGATGGATGCAGTGGTTTTCCATGTTCATAAGTGTGCTGCATTTGGTAGGTGCAAGAAGAGTTTGGTGATGCCGTGCTTTATGCCAGGCTGGAAGCTTGGTTTTGGAGGTACCAGTGTCAGGCACAACAGTTCTCGTTTATATCCAGCAAACTGTTTTACCACACTCAGCATCCATTTTTCCTTCCCAGGGGCTGTGGGAGGAAGGAGCATCCATACCTTCAAAATCATCACAGCTGGTGCTGCGGTCACACCAGCGACTGGCAGGCATTGCCAGACTTGCAGCAAAACTTCTGGGCCAGCGAGGAGCACAAGGTTTGTACACTACTGACATGTTTTTGTAAGTGATAAAGAGTTTTCATCCGCCAGGTGAGAGGATTTGACAAGCTCTGGCTGGATGGCTCAAAATAAATTTTTTCTTTTCTTTAAAACTGCTGATGGTTTGCAGCGCAGTTGGGACACATCCTCAGCTGCATGCCTGCAGGCGGTGAAGGCTCACCAGCCTCAAAGCATGCCCACATTTCTGAGGGAGCATTTCAAAATGATTTCATACCTTTGTTATGGAAAAGCCATAAATGAACAGGATCAGCAATGCAATCGTTCTCAGGAGCACACGAGCCAGCCTCAGGGCGTCCTATGGTGAAAGCGGTACGGGATGAGCAGCAGAGGTACCGTAACGGAAGGGGCTGAGGATGTGGAGCTCTGTGGGCACAGCAACGTGTCCTGCAGCAGCCCTCAGGCTGCCAAAACAGCACCTGGACCTCCCTAGAGCCAAAAATCAAGAGCCAAATGCCTGAGCATGGCATGGGCCATATACTAGTCAAAAGACATGTTGGTCATAAGACTCTCCCTCCATTTTGCCATGGCAGCAATTAGACAAAATGTTTAGGGAAGTTGCTCTAGGAGAAAC